ACTGCAGAGGAGAAACAGTCCATGGCAGGGCAAGCAGGAAGCAGAAAGCCTCTCTTTCCCTTTTATCTCATCTAGGCTACAAACCTTTTAGGTGGTACCACCCACACTCTGGGTGGGCCTTCCCATTATGGTTCCATACCCAGAACCATGCTAAACCAATCAGTGGACAGATTTAGTACCATACACCCTTAATCCCAGTATCGGCTAGTTCCAAAAAGCTCCACCTATGAGTACATGAGGCTTTGAGGGGATATCTAGATACAAGCCATAACAGCTGGTTACCTCTTATAGGCTGGGACCTCCTCAGGACAGAACTTTTTGTCTGCACATGGACCAGGTGCAGGCATCTGGACCTGGCTCTATGGGAGTGTGAGTGTTCAGAGGTAGGTGACACAGTTGAACTCCCATACTAGTACTGGCTGGGAATGAGAAAGATTAATGAAATAGCAGGGTCAGAGGCACAAGATAAAAGTAAGTGGGAGATGGACTCATATTATGGTTTATATCTAGATGTCCTTCCAAATCTTCATGAGATCAGAGGTGGAAATTTGGAAGGTGATGGATTATAGAAGCATTATAGTGGACTGCTTCTTAGGAAGTGGGGCCTGTTAGAAAAGGTGCATCACTGGGGGCATGACCTGAAAGATTATATCTCCCTTCCTGGCTTCTCCCTTGACTCTCTTTATTTCCTGTCCACCATGACGTGAGCAGCTTCTATGACAGGCCCCTCTGCCATGCTGTTTCTTCTTTGAAGCCAGCTGACCATGGACTGGAACATGAGCTCACACCATTGGCAAGGGGTTCATTGCTTCTGGTTGGAAAAAACATAAATGATCTTTATTTTCTTCTTTACGCTTTCCTGCATTTTCAGAACTTTTGCAAATCTTGGTACTTGATGGCTCTGAAACTCCTTCAGTGTGGTACTTATGCATTTTGATGAGAAAATTTTGTCCTGGTACTCATCTTTTGTTTGGTACTCAATGCATAAGCTAGAACTTAGTTTCAATTGCCTTGTGATTCACTACCCTTTCCAGCCAAAACAATTTGTTTAGTATTCATCGTTTGTGGTACTTATTGTGTCTTCCAGAACCAATTAATGATCACCAAGTTACCACTGTATTATATACAGTGGACCCTGAAGTTGACTGGCCTGACATATGAACAACTTGGGTTAACTAGGTTAATGGAAGATTCATCTGCCTCTTGTTATCGATAGCATCTACCCAGGTAAACATCCAGATTTCAGCTATCTTGACTTACCACCAAACTGAGTTACAACCAGCCCTTAGGAACCAATCAAGGTCATAAATCAAGGGTCCACTGCATAACATCTTGTGCGAACCAGCCTACAAGCTCCAACCTGACCACAGGGTGATGAGGATGAAAAGTAAAAAGACACAGTATCAGATTAGAAAACAGAAGCCCAGGGGGCTCTTGTCTCCCTTCGACATAGAGATGTTAGTGATTGCTGTACCTTGGCTTTATTCACTCAGACACAGGCACAAGCAATTCGAGTTACACAGTATTCATCTGTCTCCCACCCTCCACGGTACTTGTCCAGGTAAACAACAGGATCTCAGGTGTTTTTACTTTTCCCTGCAGTGTGTCAGCAGGCTTTTATGCCCTCTTTATTTAGTGCTCACCAAGGAAGCCAGTTAGGCTTCAATCTTCCTATTTGATCTCTCACATTTCCCCCTTTTTATTTTATAATAACAGCAGTTTCAATATCAATCACTGCTGTTTATCCCTATGGGAAGTTTGTAGGTGTAAGTAATGACTATACCTCCATCTACAGATGTAATATATCTGTTCTGGCTCTTTTCAAGGGCCTAACCCTAACCGACTGCTTCTACTCTGACTAATTTAAGTGTCTCCCCACCTCTGGAGAGGGATCCCTTAACTGCTGAGAGTGGGTATTGGGCACAGACTGCTATAACCACTTCCTTCTGAGGAGCGGCATAGTTGTGGTGAGCAGTCAGAGATACCCTCCAGAGGGTCTATTCAAAGGCCTCTTGATAGATACCAGACCTTCTCGTCTTGGGTAGGTGCTGACAATGAACAAGTCTTTCTGTCTCCTGAGTAGTTTTCTTCAGTTGTCATCTGAGGGAAGGTTTTCACTGTTGAGAGTGGAATCCAGATCCTTCAGGGATGTGTCATAAGGTCCTAGAGGGACCCACACCATCTGTGCATTTCCTACAATGACACAAGCAAATCAAATCTCCACTCCTATGCCAGCAGAATAACCAGTCCCTCCCATCTTCCCATCCCCAGGGACTACAAAACTTGTGCCTTCTCCTTTATCTCATGCTCTTGTACTTTTGACCAAAGTAATTCTACCAGTGTGCTATCTATATTACCAACAGGATTCAAAAAATTAAATGTAAATGTTGCAAAATCAAGGTGATCTTGTGGCTTATTGTGACTTATTATTCCTCCTTTTTGTTTTTCCAATTGCCATTTCAATGTTATGTCCATGTGCAACAGTAGTTTGTCCTTGTAGATTACAAGGAATTCCCGTGGAATGTCTAACATCCGATTGCTGCAAAAATCTTTGAAAGCTCCTGCTTGTATAGGCAAGGCCATTATCCATTTTTATTTTCTTAGGAACTCCCATCTTTGCAAATACCGAGAGACAATGTTGCTGTATGTGCCCTGCAGTCTCACCTGTAAGGGAGGTAGCATGCATAAAATGAGAATAAGTATCTATACTAACGTGCAATACTGACGTCTGCTGAATTGGAATATATGTGTTATATCCATTCGCCATAGATCACTTGCCTGAAGGCCTCAGGGATTACAGCTTTCTGATGGGACTGATGTAGGTAAAGTTTGGCATGTCAGACAAGACTGTACAATATGACATTCCCATGATCTGAAAAGGTTAAAGCTAGAGGTAAGGGCTCGAGTACTTTGATGGAAATAAGAGTGAGAGAGCCTCATGTGTTGAAAAACTGAAGCGATGAGTCTATCAGTCTCATTAGTATGCTTTACTATTTGTCTTTGTGCTTTGCCACTTCAAAGTGGACTTTTTGGTTAGTCCTATGCCTTCTCCGGGTCTAGCTGGGTTGTTAATTGTGCTTGTTTGAGGGCCTTGTAGAGACTTCTGCTGCTTATTTCCATTCTTGTCTGTGTTCCTCTTTCCATCTGCTGTTAGTGTATGTAAACTTTTATCTCTATACCTTTGTTTTTTAACACATTGATTCCTCTAACCTCATTAATGTAATTAATAGTCATACCACCTGGACATCATGTTTTAGAATTTCCAACATCTTGGCCTTCCCAGTTTTTGGACTTCTTACTGAATCTTAACGTTTTCATTCCTTAGATTAAAAAATATATATTTATGACCAAAGACACAAGTAATGGAATATCTTATGTCATACGTGTGTATATTCAGATTGTTGTTATTGCATTATAATAAATTCTAAGTGACACATTTTTTTTCTCTGACATTAATTTATTTGTTCCTTCAACAAATATCTGAGTACTGTAGTAACAATACAATCAAAACCTGTGTCTTGGAATTTATGTTCTAATTGGAAGAGCCAAACTATGACAAATAACCACTATTATTATTATTATTATTATTTGAAGCAGTCACAAGTATGATGGAGAAAAATCAAAGTACAGGAGAAGAGCAGAGCCTGTTTGGTTCTGATATAAAGATGTGTTAGAAAAGGCTTCCGTGCCCTGCAAGCTAAGATGTAAAAGAGTTGGAGGGAGCCAGATAGATGCCTGGAAGGAGAGTGCTCAGTGGAAGCAGCAAGTACAGAGGTCCTAGCACAAGAGTTAGATCCTAACACAAGAGGTCCTAACATAAGACTGTGCTTGGTTTGAAACAGGAGGCTGGCATAGCTGGAGTGCAGCAAGTGAGGGGGAGAGGGGCTCGCTCATGTGTAAGAAGGCCAGCTACCATGAAGCCACCATGCTAGACCAAGCATGTAAAGTCACTGCATCGACTAAAGGAGTCGCACAGGAGCCCCAGCTATTTCCTTCTCCAGATATACAGATCACCCCAGCCCTGGTACCAGACGTGTGAATGAAGAGTCCCTTGAGGTGATGCCAGTTCAGCCACCTGAGTATGACATCATGAGACCTCAAGCCAGAACTGCCCCATCAAGTACTTCCCAAATACCCAACACACAAGAACCAGGAGAGATAATAAATGACTGTTGTTTGGGGTCCCTGAAACAATACAAATAATTCTTTTTAAGTAGAGCTACTGATGTTTGAACTCAAACATGTCTTTGTAACAGGAGTTTAGTAAAAGTCTTTCTGGCCTCTTGCTGACAGTACATAAAAATTACCAGTAGAGGTCCTACCTGACTAATATTTTCACCTCTTTTCTGGAAGCATGTAGGTTGATAAAAGAATTGTTATTTAATGTATTAGTATGATAAATTCAGCAAAACTTTATCTTGGATTTTTATGAGGAGTCTACTTGCTACCTTGAATGAACAACCACTGTATAAAAACTAAGTATAGGGCCGGGGATTTAGCTCAGTGCTTCTGCCTCCTGCCTCGAAAGCACAAGGTCCTGAGTTCGATCCCCAGTACCAAAAACAAAACAACAAAACCTAAGTACAGTCATAATGAACTATGTTTACCATTAGAAGCATACTGAGCATTATTGAACATGTGATACAGTGTACATCTGAGAACCTTGCACCAGCACCCGCAGTATGAAACTGCACTGTTGAAATCTATGAAAACTGATAGATGGCTTGTATGGTTGTTGGTATTCTAGATCAATGAAAATTTGCCCTAAATTACTATAAAAACCTGTTGGACATTCTTCTTATCAAAAGATTGTTTCCTCTTTCAAGGAGATGGGTCCTGATGAGTACGAAGAGATGGAAGAAGAAGAGGAGGAGGAAGAAGACGACGATGATGATTCAGTGGACATGGATGAATCAGATGAAGAAGAAGAGGAGGAGGGGTGGAGGAGAGTCTTCAATGTTCTCATTTGCAGATGCCCCTGCTCACGTCAGCTTTAGCCTGTCTTCTGCTGAGGGAAGCACTGGGATGACTCAGCCTGTTTAAGAGATTTCTTAATGTAAATAACTACACTGTGCTCAGCATATAGCAGGCAACTAGCATGGAATACTGTCTCTGGCTCTGAGCCCTGGGTGACACTACATTAGGAGGTGGAATTGTTTGGTTTGCTTTGTGGCTTGGAGGTAGAGAAAGAAACGAATCTTTTCTTCTTTGTTTTTTTGTTTTCCTCTCCCAGGAGTTAGTGCAGAAATCATTCTCTGGCTAAGGAAGAGATACTTCCTTGTTTTAAAATATTTACCACTTAAAAATACAGAAATGAGAAGAAAATTCTTTTGAATAAAGGCTTAAAAAGTAGCAGAAATACCTCCACGTGGATAGCCATACTATGTGCTGAATGATCTATGGAAAGACTTAGAGTTGTAAATCATAGGCTAATCTAATTAGTGATTCCTAATATTTGCTACTCACAGGGAACTGACTAAACTTGAATGCAAATGGCTTATGCTCTCTTTGACAATCTAAACTTGAATTTACACACTATCATTTAGACCTTGAATTTAAAATCTTTTACATGGTGACTTTGAATAGAAGTTAAAATCCTCACACTAGGACCTTTATCACATTATTTAGTTGCATTATTTTTAAAAATTATTATTATTGAAATGTAGTGTATACAAGTATGCAATGTGGAGTTTATTAACAAAAGATTCTTCACAATGTCTCATGGAGTCTAAACTTGTAAATACTGCTTCTGTTTTGTTTCTCCTTTATACACTTGACTGTTTAACTTTGTGATAAGTGACATGAATCTTATGTTAGGCTTAAGGATGTTTACCAGAAACATAGATTTTTATTTTGTAATTCTGTAACTGAGAGTTTGGAATGAAATCCTTCAAGTGTCAAAACTTTAAAAACAAATTTGGGTTCTAATCCTGTGTTTTGTGTAGTCGGCTATTTGCCCTAAGTAAATGTTAAGAGGCTTTGGTTCTTCAGATGGTAAATGGGATTGGTACTCATTGTTGAGAAGCCAGAGCACAGTGGGCCCACCCATGACCCATGATCCTGTCCTGGCTTTGACTGTAGCCTCAGCTGTGCGCCACCTTCCGTTTCACCCAGAGCAGTTCTTTCATAGAGCAGCAGGCAGAGGGAGTGGTCTTCAGGTTAAGCGCCTGCCATGGGGGAAAATAAAGGCACACTTACCTACTGATGCATGTCAGAATGTTCTGAAAGAGTCATTTTCTTGTTTATTTTCATGTAAGTACAGCCATGCACTGCAGACTGATGTTGCAATCAACAACAGACCACGGATACCACAGTGGCCAGCAGCAGCCTTGTACATTGCATGTTACCACATGTCTTGAATGTATCATTTTCTCTTGTGCTTGATTTAGTCTCCTATTATTTTACCCATCACGGCGCATAAACATACAAAATCCAGTGCTAATATTGCCATTAAGAGGCTACATCAAGTGATTGACCTGGAAATGAAATTGAAAGTGGTGAAGGACCATGAAGCTGGCAGATCACTGATGGGTACTGCACACCAGTCATTTCCACCACAGCTACAATCTTAAGGAATAAAGTGACAGAAGCAGGAAATGGATCTGCTTCGTTGAATGCAGTGAGACCAGCAAAAATTCAAGAAAAACTCATTTCAGACATGGAGAAACTTCTAGTGACCCGAATTGAAGACCAGACACCGAAGTACATCTTCAGCATCCTGAAGATCATGACTAAAGCAAAGTGTTTATTTGCACTGTTGGAAGAAAAGGCTGGAAGAGACTAGGATGTTGAATTTACTGCTCACTATGGCTTTATAGGATTCGTGAATGATTCATAACAATGTGAAATTGAGCGTTGAGTCTGAGTGCAGATATAAAGCCAACTGAAGAACTTTGGGAAGAGAGAAGATTAGTGGAGGGAAATTATTGCCAAAGCAAATCCTTAATCCCACAGAGGTTTGTAGAAATATACTGCTGTTTGCACAGGGGTGAGATCACCTGACAGTGCAGTCACCTAATGGCATGTCTCAGAAAGTTTCCCCTCCACTAAGTCAGACATGGTTGCTTCATCAGGCTACCAAATCCTATTATGTCCTATTTTTCCCTGAGTCAACTGGCTTCTCCATTTAGGCTGCCATAATAAAACACCGTAGCCTGTGTAATAGCCAAACAGTAGAAATTAATCGCTCACAGTTCTGGAGAATGGAAAGTCCAAGATCAAGGCACCAGCAGATTCGGAGTCTGGTGTCTACACTGTTCCCTAAGATGGAGCCTTCTTGCTGTGCCCTCACATGGTGGAAGGGGCAAATGAGCTCTGCGGTCTCTCTTCTAAGTGCACTAATCCTATTCATGAGGGCCAACTCCTCAGGACCTGATAACCGCCTAAAAGTCCATCTCATACTCTTGCTTTGGGATTTGGATTCAACATTCAAGTTGTGATTGAGAAATACAATGTGTATGTAAATAAAACATTACGATAAAAGTGACATCGCCATTCCTCCCTCTCAGAAACTCCCCTCTCAGATTAAACACACACATTTCTTGCCACTTCCTGAAGCAGTTTTGGACTCTTTCATGAGTATCTAGTTGCCCTGTCATATCCGTCTTGATGTCCCAAATTCATTCAAAATGTTTCCATTTCATGGTCACTTTGACTTGAGGGAGGAGCCTGAAGTTGCACAGTGCCAGATCCAGTGAGTAAGTTGCATGAGGACACTAATGTTTTTATGAGTCTGTCTTTCTACTGTATGTGACTCGGCACTGTATTCCCTATACTTCTGATCACACTTCATAAAGACACTTAGGAAAGAGGACATTGATAACTGCTTAAGAAAATAGCAAGAATGATGGGACAGGTATATTTGGAATGGGGGCCAGGGGAGGTTTTTTGATGAAAATCAATAGCAATGTGTCTTACTGAAAACTTTTAATGTAAACATTCACTCTTTTTCAACAACGCTTTGGGAGAAGCACACATTCAGACCCCAGTATCACCCAGTTATTTAAGAAACTAAACTTTAGAGTTAAACTAAACCAGAGACCTTGTTATTCTTTGCATCCTTTTTTCTGGATGACTTCCTGTTTCTAAAGTACCCCAAATCACCCCTGAATCTCTATCTGATCCTTGCATCCTTAGAATGCTCGCTGCTTGTTCTATCAAAATTCATAGTATTGGGCCAGGGATTTAGCTCACTGGTTCCACAGCCTGCCTTGAAAGTGCAAGGTCCTGAGTTTGATTTCCGGTACTGAAAAAAAAATTCAATGTCATGGTTATGTTGAATGAATGATCACTGGTTCATAGCAAGGTCTTGTTGGTTAATAAGCCTCTGTGTTTAATTTCATGGCACAAATGCTTATTCATACAGAAATGGAATTTTAACAGCATTAACATTGCTCAAAGCAGACTAAACAGCCATTTCTGGTTCTCAGACCTCTTGAGAACTACCCATGCTTTACTTGTTCATCTAAAGCTCAGGGTAAGACAGATAAGTAAATTAAAGGTGGCTTAAATAGTGTTCTGGGGTTTTTTGAGACCAGGTCTTATTATGTAGTTGAGGCTGGCCTTGAACTCACTATGTATCCCAGCTGGCCTCAAACTCAGGATGATCCTCCTACCTCAGCCTCCCAGGAGCTAGGATTACAGGCATGCTGCACAACGCCTGGCTAGTTTAAATAGTTCAGGAGTGTTATGATTTACCTTTACATGTCC